AAACTTGAGCACTTAGCAAGAACTTTCAATTGTCAGAAAGGATCCCTACCTTTCACCTACCTAGGACTGCCCCTGGGTTTACAAAAACCAAGAATTGTGGATTTTTCCCCACTGGTGAGCAAATGTGAAAGAAGACTTGTCATGGCATCATCATTTCTGAATCAAGCTGGGAGACTTCAGTTGACTAACTCAGTAATCTCTGCCCTGCCAACTTTTACTCTAAGTACCTTCAAGCTGCAGAACATTGTCATTGAACAAATAGACAAATATAGAAAACATTGCCTTTGGAGAGGTGCTGATCTGCAGTCTAAAAAGCCCTCCAGTGCTGCATGGCCCATGGTTTGTGCTACAAAGGATGAGGGTGGTTTGGGAGTCCTAAATCTAGGAAATCACAATGAAGTTTTGTTGATGAAATATCTCCACAAATTTTACAATAGAGAAAATATTCCCTGGGTAAGTTTAGTTTGGGAGAAATACTACTCTAATGGCAGGCTGCCTGAGAACAGCAACAGAGGATCATTTTGGTGGTTCATTCATAAGTACAAGGATGTTGCAAGAATTGATTTGAAAGATGGAAGGACATGCCTTCTTTGGTCTGATATGTGGCTAGGAATGGCTCCAGAGACCAGCTTCCCTGAGCTATACTCATTTGCCAAGAATAAGAGAATCACAATCAGAGCAGCCAAGAATGAAGATAGCTTCCAAAACCTTTTCCACCTGCCACTATCAGAAGAAGCTTACTCCCAGTTCATCCAGTTACAAGACTGCATCAACAACATCCAACTTGCCGGTACTAAAGACACTTGGGGATTCAGCTGGGGATCAAATCATTTCTCATCCTCAAAGATCTATAAACAGCTCAGAGGGCACAGCCCGACCACCGTTGCATATAAATGACTCTGGAATAGTTCTTGTCAGAATAAACACCGGGTGTTCTTTTGGCTCATTTTAAAGAACAGGCTAAACACTAGAGGGGTGTTAAGAAGAAGGAACATGGAACTCGAGAGTATTCATTGTGTCCTCTGCACAGAGCAACCTGAAGAAACCATTGAACACCTTTTCATCAACTGTCCCTTTGCAGTAGCAGCATGGAATTCCATCAACTTAAATGTTCGTGCTGATTTCCAGCTCATACAGAATCTTGAGTTGCTCAAAGATCAGATTAATCAAAGTTTCTTCATGGAGATCATCCTCCTCCTCTGTTGGGCTATCTGGATGACCAGAAATAATCTTATCTTCAGACAAATCCCACCTTCAGTTCAAAATTGCAAGCTCATCTTCATGACTGAATTTCATTGGCTGTTATGCAGAGCAAAGAGGAGTTACTTCCCTAAAATTCAAGAATGAATAGACAACCTAGCCTAATTTGGGAACCTTTAGTCAGGAGCCTTCTTTTCTTTGTTTTTCCTTTCCTAGTCCCCTAGCTTTCTCCCTCTACCTGTACTCTACCCAGCTCATTCCTGTTGCTTCTGCTAGTCCCTTTGGACCTGGCTTGTATTTTTCTTGTTTTTGGACCTTGGCTTTCAATAAATGTCTTCAGTAGGGGCTCCTCGCCCCTCCTGTTATTTCAAAAAAAAAACAACTGGGTGACCCAGACTATAATGGAACCCAACCAGGTGTGCCGGGGAGGTGTTGAGCTTGACCATCCCAAGAGCTCCTTAAAAGCCACTTACCAAATCATTGATTATTCCAGGTCCGCAAAAAGAGCAGGGAGACAATTTTTTGCCTTTTCTCCAACAATTGCTAGTATTTTTGCTTAAAAAAAGATAGAGTCTACATGGCCACTCGTCGTCCTATAAGAGAAACTCTAACAGAATCCTTACTTCTAATTTGAGAGCTCTCCTTACTTTTGAGGGCTTGAATTTTTCTTTTTTTGCATTTATGTGAGACTTTATGTTTGTAGTATGATTTAAAAACTAAACTTTGACGATAACAATTAGCAAATGTATAATAAACTGAAAAGAAATATTTCCAAAATGTGACATTTTTAATAATACTTTTATTTTCATGTAAATCTCCAAAGTTTGAGGATAGATTGCGGGACCTGATCTTGTTTTCTTTCAGAGCATCTCCAAAAATCTTTCTTAAACTTATCTTGTAAATCATCATGTTGAGAATCATTTGAATAAAAATAACTCTCTATATTTTTCCACTCTCCATTAGTTTTTTTACATCCTGTGAGCACTCTAGAGAGATAGCTTTGCTCTCCGTCTTTGACTAATTAGAAATCCGGAATAGAGGATAATATTTAGAGATCTAGTTAAAGAGGTTGTTGGATGATATTGCTTTAACCAAAATATCCATTTCTTGTCACTTTGGAAGGATATAGAAGACTCTTTGAGTTGATCTATAAGGTATACACCTCATAACCACTACAATACACATGACAATGTGGAACGCTAGGAGGAATGGATAAGCTAACTGAATTTTTTCAGACTTTCTTCAAAATCAATATATTCTTATTTATTAAGTGGGCTCAACTTGAAACTAATTAAGCTAAAACCGAGCCAAAATTAAATTTCATTTAAATCGACTAAAATTATTTTTAAAAGAAAACATAATTTCAAAACGAGCCACCGAATCAACTCAAGCAACTTTTTTATCTAAGAAGAGAAAGGTGAACAAATGAGGAAACAAAAATACATTCTTTGGAATGCAAACTGACCAGAAGATAGAGCACACAGGCGGCCAGGACCGCTCGATACCGGCCAAGTCGCGAGTCAGCAACGAGCGCGCCGACGAGCGGCAGCCGTGGACACGCGTTCATGGTCCCAGACCACGCGTTCACGCCGGCGGCCGCGGCAGCCGTGGACATGCCGAGTGGGCCGGTGAGGTACATGATCAAGTTGGCCGACACGCCGACGAACCCAATACGCTCAAAGAATCCCATCGCTGCATATATGGTAGTAGCAATAGCAACAGTGAAGCGTGATGCAAACCTGCGGACGAACTAGGGAATTTGAACGATCGACTTGCAATCTGCATGATTACCGACGATGAAGAGGGCGGCACGCCAACCGCCACGGCCATCGCCGGGTTTGGAGGCGACGGGCAACGCTGGTCCGGGAAGAAGCTCGCCACCGCCGGACTCCATCATATCAGCCCGATCCGGAGGATCCGAGGATAGGAGCACCGAGCACATCGAACCTCTTGCTGCGTTGTCTCGTGACTAATGGTCGCAGCACCGGTTGGTGGTCTGGGACCGTGCAGCCGTGCAGGTGGCCAGGTGCTGCCGCTCGCGAACGCGTGGTCCGGGACCTATCGCTACCGTCAGCGAGTATTTCTCGAGAAAAAAAAAACAGTACTATATAATATTACTGACGGGGACGAGCTCAGCTATGCAAACCATTAAACCAAGGTCTTCAGGACGCGTAAAGTAAACCAAGGTCTTCAGGACGCGTAAAGTCGTTGTCAGTTTTTCAAGAACGCTGAATATAAGGGCAACTCCAAGTTCGCCAAAGGTCGGTGCATACACGAAAGCTACCGTGCAGTGCAATTGGCTTGCAGGTGGCTGCAGTGCAAGAAGGTCCCGTCGGTCGCGTGGCCTTTTCTGAGTCCCTTAGCCACATTGGTTTCTCCAAGTTAAAGGTGCCATTTCACGAAACAAAAAGGAAAACAATAAAAATAAAAAAGATTAAACAAAAGCTTCTAGCCATAATCGAAGTTGGGGGCAATCAGTTCTTTTGCACGTGGTATAACTCTAGCAAACTCTTATCTGAAAACTGCTTTGCATCTTTTGGAGAGACACTGGTCCGTGTCTAAAAATACAGTCATTATGAACTATCCATATGGCCCAAGACATTGAGATCAAAACTTCCATGAAGACAGGAACTGCTACTTGATCCTTGAAGCTGACTATAATATCAAAGGGATTGCACACTTGGTCTTCACATGTCAAGACATCAAGGGGCTGCCCTGATTCGTCTCCTGGCCAACAATCCGCTAGAATGTCCCAGCAAGCTGCAGGCTGCCATCGGTTCACGTCTCGGATCATCAACATGCCAAGTGTCCCAGGTGTGGTTGATGCAGCATGCCGCCACCATCTGATTGCCTTGCGGCATCTCCTTCGACCTCGCTGCAGCCACATATCCCTTGATCTGTATTGTCACGGCGTCTCCTTTGACATTGCTGCACCCACAAGATTGTCCTTTAGAATCTGTGGGCAAGCAGTTGACCCTTACGCTCTAGTCAGCAAAGCATGAGGCTATCTCTGTTGCTGCATGCCTGCTAAGTATACACCCTTAATAGTAGAGTCAACTTACTAGCTCATATGAACTTAAAAAATATATAAAAATAAAGTAATATAACATGCTAGTATAAAAATATGTAAACATAGATAGTGTATGAGCCTAGCTCTTCATGAGCTAGCTTATTATTTTCTCTCCTTATTGAATAAAATATCCTATGAGCTAGCTCTTAAGAGACCGTTGGAGCTGCCCTGGCACATATTCTCCTGTTAGTAATATACTTGCGACAACCTTTTGAGGTCCTATTAAAAAGATATTTTCCAAAGATGATATCTAGAGATCCAGAGGCTACACATTTCGTGCAACAAGGGCACCTCCTCCAATAGTATAGATGTCATCTCATAATGTATGCTTTATATGTAAGATGAATTCTCTCTAAAAAAAACTTAGCTCTTCTCTTTCCGCTAGTTCAAAGATTTTTGACCTCTCTCTACTTCAGATGGCATCTAATACTAGTTTAGAGTTGGCAATTGAAGATCCCCTTGGTTGCCGGTTAGCAAGGTTATAGTATTATGGTCCTTATCTAAATAATTCCGCAGAAAATGGCCCATTTGAGAATATATAGCCTCAACTAGCCCATTTTGGAATCTTAAACCAAGAGATAACCAGTACAAGGGGGAAAAATTGTGTTAACACCAGAATCCCGTAGCCACTCCGTACGGGTGTTTTTTTTCAGGTCTGGTTCTCTACAAACAGCTACAGCTACAGGCACCCCCCCCCTCAAAGTGATCAGTACAGCTCAAACTGCATATATCACACGAGATCACCATTGCCACTCTTTCTCTTGTAAGCATACACTCGAGAGAAGAGCACAAAGGCGACGAGCTCCACGGCGCAGAGCCCAGTGAGCAGCCAGTAGAAGTAGTCGAGGTGGGCGCGATTGAGGTTGTTAGAGAACCAGCTCGTCCCGCTCCTCGCTGTCATCTTGTCAATGACGGAGATGAGGAAGCTGCTGAGGAGGTGGCCGACCCCGAAGATGCTCAGGAACAGGGCCAGCCCAAGGCTCCGCACCCCGTCGGGGACCTGGTCGTAGAAGAACTCCTGCAGCCCGATCATGGCGAACACGTCGGCGACGCCGATGAGGACGTACTGCGGGACCATCCACCATAGCGTCATGGGGAGCTGCGCCTTCGGGGTGTTCACCAGGCCGGATTCCATCGCGACCCGGAGCCGCTTCATCTCCACGAGCGCGGACAGGGCCACGGCGACGAGGGAGAGCGCCAGGCCGGCGCCGACCCTCTGCAGCATGGTGATCCCCGTGGGCCTCCGCGTGTAGCGCCGCGCCAGGGGCACGAAGAGCCGGTCGTACACCGGGATGAAGACGACGATGCTGACGCTGATGAACGTCTGCAGAGCCGCCGCCGGCACCTTGAACCTCGCGCCCATCCGGCGGTCCAGCGTCGCGGCCTGCTTCGTGAAGAACGTCGATGTCTGGGAGAAGATGATCGCGTAGATTATGCACGACGCCCATATAGGCAGCAGGCGGAGCACGCTCTTCACCTCCTCGACGGCGACGGCGTTGTCCTCGTCGCCGTCGCCTAATTTTCTGCTTGCAGCAATGCACGGACTGTCATGTCATGTCACACAAGATGCACAGCAGCAAAGATTCAACCGGAGCAGTGGAGATACCTGGTACGAGGATTCGGTGCCCAGCTCTGGATCAACGCCAGCAACGCGTTCCCGACGCGCGAGAAGGGGCTGGCCTCTGTGGTGGTGTAGAACCGGTACGATCTGGTCCCGAGCAGGAACAGGACGAGCGAGGCGACGATGACGATGCAGGGGATGCCGAAGCCGAGTCCCCAGCCGACGTTGTCCTGCACGTAACTGGAGACCATGGTGGTGACAGCGGTGCCAGCGCACATGCCGAAGTACCACCAGTTGAAGAACGAGCTCCGCGCCACGCTCTCCTTGGGGTCCTTCTCGTCGAACTGGTCCGCCGCGAACGCCTGCGCGCACGGCTTGTGCGCGCCCTCGCCGAGGGCCACCAGGTACAGTGCCACGTAGAAGATGGCCACGTGGCCGCCGCGCAAGGCCGGCAACGCCGACGACAGCGACAGGGCGCCCATGCTCTGCAGCGAAAACAGGGCCGCGGTTGAAGAACAAGACTGGGCTACGAGAGCGAGCGGTCGGAGACGTGCGGGAGACAGGGGACTGACCACGACGAAGATGAGGGAGGCGAGGACGATGGCGCGGTACCGGCCGAGCCAGGCGTCGGCGACGCACGCGAGCGGTAGCGGCAGCATCTGGGAGACGCCCTTCCACGCGTCGATGGACGCGGCGGCGCGCGCCATCGGCTGCCCCAGCGGCCCCGTCAGGTACGTGATCAGGTTCGCGGCCACGCCCTTGTACGCGAACCGCTCCGCGATCTCCATCGCTGCATGCAAGCAAGATGAAAAAAGGTACGTTGTCGTAGTCATGTCGATGTCATGTATGAGCGATGTCAGCTGTCACGCGCCGTAGCAAGACGAAGGAGATCTGGAGATGGGAACGTACCCATGACGAAAACCGACGGTTTCCAGCCCCCGGTGGCGGCACGAGAGGCCGGCTGGCCGCGGTAGTCGGTGGCGCCGGCGACGGTGTCGACCATGGCTGCTGGTTGATACAGCAAGAGGGAGAGGAGCTCGCTCCGATGACACATGGTGAAGTCGTCGTCGCAGGTTAGGGCTTTATAGGTAGGCGCGGCGCCGGCAGAAACGACAGCCAGATCGATCGAGGTGGCTGACTGCGCTTTGCTTTCCGGAATCGCTCCCCTCTAAACGCATGCGACATCCGCAGGCAAGCTCGTGCGCCCCCGCAGGCGCCATGCGCGCGGGGGAGCCCGCGCCGCGCGTGCGAGCGGCACGCGTGTCCGGGCGGGCGAGCATGGGGAGGCACGGGTCCCGATCGTTTCGGTGTGACCGCTCGAGCGAGGCCGTCGGATCACGGATCGTTGGCCGTGATCTGCCCAGCATTTATTTCGGATACACCAGACGCATCTTTATTGAGTTGCCTTGATTTGCCAAACGGGTTGCTTCGGAGGATTTTTTTTTTTTCGAGGAAAAGCAACGGATGGCAAGTGTTGCTGACCAGTGCACGAAACCGGCCGTGCGGGAAATGTTAGGCTCCGGCACGCATCGTCTGAAACTGAATGTCTGATATGAACATTTCACGAGCTCTGAAGAGAAAAATGAACTCCAAAGATGCTACGCTGCTGCCTTCTTGTTCTGAACCATTCCTGTTTTAGGGTGTTACCGATAAGCTTTTGTCATGATGTCCACAGGGTGAATATGCACAGACAATGGACCAGTACCACAACCAATGCAAATTTAGCAAACACAAACTATTTCTTTCTTAATTTCAATTTCTCCACGGCAACCCATCGGAGGAGCCAAAGGTTACCTTCCTGATTCCTGAACCTGTACGAATACTTGATGCCAGTTGGCAGGAAGTGGAGTGAAGAATCTAACTCCCTTTAAAACTCATCGGTATTTTTCAAGTTTTCAACAGGCTAGATCAATATAAGCCGACCGATATCACTTGCATCTAGAGTTACAGCCACGCATACTGAAGTGCCCTCCCAACAGCCCTACGGGACACGTCTCTAGGCTTCATCGGCATGCTAGAGTAAAAGTCCCATAAAAACACAAATATTCTAAAGCAAAAGAGGTTCCTATATCCTTTGCATGATGCTTATCTCCCAAGTCCTAACATGTCGTCAACTGTCTTTCGTAGTCACACCATGGCATGACAAAAGGACAAATCTGCAATAGCTGCAAGACATCAGTGTTCATAAGAGCAGCTCTAAAAATCTCTTTATATCCTCTCGTACTGGGAGGAATAGAGATTTTAGTAAAAAAAATACAAATATCATCTAATAGCTTGTATTTCTCCAAATATCCCATTCTGTATTCCCAAAGATAGAAAATGGAGCTGGCTTTCCATAGTGTCAAACAAGATATAGAGAATTTATTAAAGATCAAGAGATATAGAGTGCAATTTTTATTAAAATAGCTCCCCAAATAAGAATTTAAAGAGTAAGAATGACCACCAGAGAAACTTAAAGTTTATTAGATGGAACGGAATAGTAACTTTCAGGCCTAGTTGACTGAACTATTGCGCCAAAGTCCAATAATTCCCTTGATGCATATCAAGGTTGATGGGCTCTCAATATCAGCCCAGCCATGTGTAACACTCCTGGTGTTACGAGCTTGCTTAGCATCGAGATTTAGGTCCGAGAAGAATTAGCCTAACAAGTTTCTGGGTTTTAAAAATTTATAACGCACGTTAGGCGAAAAACATTTTCTAGGAACAACGATCAAACATAACTTGTATTTAGTACTTAAATAAAAATTGAAGTACAAGTTTAGCAGATGGAAATGCGACTTTAACTTTTGAAAAATAGATGTTGTTAACTACTGTTTTGGGAGCTCAAAAATCAAATTTGATGTTAAGACAAGCTCTTTTCGTTAAGTCGACAAACACTTGAAATATTGTTAAAATACCATTTTTGGCGAATTATATTGAGCAAAATAGTTAAATGGTGCTTAAATATTTTGCTCCTACGGGTTAGTATAAGGTATGGACTATTGCATGAAGTATTTGTTGGTTGAAGTTAACCAGGTTTAGATCTATTAAAAATTGAAACAAAAGAGTTAATGGGTACTTAGCCTCAATTGAAATCCTTAACTTTCCTAAGTATGGAAAAGTAGTAAGACAATGCTATCTTGACATTTAAATTCTAGCTAAAATGTTTAAACACTTGTTGCATGTTTTGGTATTGTTGATTGCATCAAAGTGAGTGCTTGAGCATGACATAGGTCGAAATTGTGTTGGATGACACGTTGTCCGCTCAAAAATTGCCCTAACTTCACTAGAACACGCTGTGAACCCTGATTCGGTGCTCGATTCCCGAACTGGTGTTCAGCGCGACGAGCTCCTATTGGCACCTCTCTATCTCCCTCAATGATCACTCTCCGGCCATGCTTGTTGCTCAGACGAGAAGCACTTAGTGGCTACTAGAATCTTGAACTCTTGTTTTAATCTCAACTGGGCTCTAAGCGGTTGGTTTTGACGCTTTAAAATTCGTGCTTCACATGTGGTTCCGCCGTTCGGGCCCAGGGACGCGGTCACCGCGTCCGATGTCGCGTCGTCGCGGGCTACCTGCCCCGCTGCCGGCCGCTGCTACCACGCGCTGCACCGCGCGTTGGTTGGCGTACTCTGTGGCCGTGGCCGCTGTCTCGCTGACCAGTCGAGTGGCGTCGTCTGCCCAGCGGGCCAGGCGTGGCCGCACCCGCGCTCCGCCGTGCGCGGGGCGTTGCCGACGTGGCGTTGTCCAAGCGCACCTGTAGGGCTGCGTCTTGTCCTCTTGTTGTCTTGGTTACTGCAGCGCTCGCCCTCAGCCGCACAACCCACCTACCGAACCCGAGCTCGACATCGTACGTAGTTATTGCATCGTGACGCCATGCTGCTGCGTGCGCATGGCCACACACGGGCACACCTCTTGGCTCTGTCTAGCGTTAACCGACGTGCTGCCTATCCTTCGCTCGAGCAGTCATATCCCCATGCTGTCGTGTCTCGTTGGGTTGTGGCTGAGCCATCTCTGTCAGGGCCGCTTCCTGCGATGTGACGGTGGCAGTGCACCGCTCTCCCTCTCCCTTTCTTAATCACCAGTCCGAGGCTTCCCAGTCCAATTTCTCGCACCGGTGGGTAGCTTAGCAAGTTAGCTAGGTGTCGCATTCTCATCGAGCCCAGCCGTTGCCGCCGGTGTGCCGCGCCACCGCGCGCGGGTACATCGAGGACCGCGCCGTTGAAAAGGCAACACATTCCAGGGTCTTTAATGCAAAGCGTGAGTATGTATTAATAACATTCCATTGCTCCGCGTCATTATTCAAAAACCCGAGCCCTCTTTTGCAAAACGCGAGCGCGCGCGACCTCGGCCTTGGGCCGTGCTGGGCCACCGCGACGCACGCATAGCTGCGTCGCGCTGGGCTGCCGGGCCGAATGGTCGCCACCGGCCCTTTTCCTTTTCTATGCATTTTCTAATTTAGTTTCTAAGGTAAACTTATAAATTCAGTATAAAATTGTGTAGTTAACCAAAAATTATAAAACTAATTTTGTTAGGTTCCTAAAATTATAATATATCTGCTAGTACATTTTGTTCACATAGTTTTATAATATTCTTAGGAGTTATATAATTAAATTGAGATACTTAATATTGTTAAAATATAAACTTATAGGAATTGTTGTGATAAATTGGTGATAGTGTTGGCTCTGAAACTTTCACAGTAAATTCATAACATTATTAGATGTTCACTGTAATTTTTACAGCTCCATAATAATTAGTTTTCTAAGGAAACTAAATGAGCTCTAGTTCAAAAATATATGTTTAAGCAATAAAATGCCGAAACACCTTGGGATTTTAAAACTAGAACATTTTTTGGGAAATAACGTCTTATTCGATAACGTGGATACATAGGCTAGTACGTTAGTCAATAAAGCTAGCTCGTTAGCTTGCGGAGCGTGATCGTATTTAGAGTTGTAGTTGCCGTTGATTATTTACATCGCTGTGTTGCATCCACGTATATCATAATAAGAACAACGATGGATCTTGGAGTTGACCGAGGTAGCGAAAAAGATGGTGCCTTGATGATCGTGCCACCATGATGGAATGCTAACTTTTGGTTATATCTTACACAGGCAAGCGCCGGAGCATAACCCCTATTATTCTGCACTTTTATTTTATGCTTGTGCATTAAGTTTTATGGAGTTGAATGAAAACCAATTGCATATATATATTATTATCCTATGAGTCCTACTAGTATGTCAGGATTATGTAGATTGCTATGTTATAGGACCCGGTAGAAGTCGAGAGATAGGAAAGATATTATTATTATTATATTACTATCACATGGAATATATATGAATGATAATTGAAGACCGGGCGGAATGGTACTTTGGATCTGAACTTGGTTAGACATTCGAGCGAGGCTCGGATTGCACTTGTTCCGTCTGTGTCGATTAAGGATTGTCCATTACTGTCGATGGTAGTCAGGTCACAGACTTATTATCCTGAGCACATACTTGCTTATGGGAGCGGGAAGGTTCGTTGCTCTCTTGTCGTGGGTTCCGGTTCTTTTCGGACCGACTGATTGGAGGCGGGGATGGTGGAGGTCTAAGCATCACACTGAGTCCGGGACTCAGGAGTGGAGGCTTGGAGTCCAAGTTTAGATGGCGACTTGGACCATTTGATAGGAGAGTGGTGGGTTGGTCTTACTTGTGCCTGAGGTACAAGCGGGACATGTGTTTTGGGGTACCCAGCTGGGATACATCGGTTCGTGAATCGCCGTGTGATAGAATACGACTTGGCTATGGTCTAGCACCGTAGTAAGAACTGGAACTCGAAAGGTGATAAAATAATTCTGATTGCTTACCACCTGAAAGTAGCATATGTGCTTACATAGAATGGTTAATTAATGAACTAATGATGACTACTAATAAAATTGAATATAAGGACGTACGTTTAGTAATGCTTCCGTAAATGCAATAATCTACAAGCCAAATAAGTCTTGTATATCCTTGGAGTCTTTTATTTTTCTCCTGTCGGGTAAG